GCGGTTGAAATAACCTTGGGTCTTTCCGCTTGTTCCAGTTTCATTTTGTTTTGTAATACGTCTATCTGGTGCATGTGTCAAAATTACTGGCTGATGCGTAGTTCGCGCCTGTAAAGTTCCTATTTTTACAGGTGGTAGTTGAAAGCCACGGAAAGACGCTAAAGTATCTATGACATCTTTCAAAAGCTCTATTTGCTCAATAATAATTATCTGATGACATCTGTGGGCTATCTCATTTTCATGACAGATTTTGAGAGTAAATGTGAAATCCAATACATATTTCAAATATGCCGTTAATCTTTCAAAATCATAGCAACTTTGAATTGTTCTTGTCAATAAAAATGAAACTTTAAAAAAAAAAGAACAAATATGAAAAAGCAATTGCTAATTATGAGATATAAGAAGATCAAGTCTGTATTTTCGGCAATTCTATATATATATAAATATATACCAAATCAACATATGTTTCCATTTTATTTGAAAGACATATACTCTTGGACATTGGATAGTTGCTATAACGATAACAAAGTGGTGGTGATAAGATATTTAAAAAATGCATACCTGAAGAGGCATTTCCTCTAGAACTGTAGATGTTACAAGACTATTAGTAGTAATATGTTCAGGTATGAGCAATCCAACACATTCATGATGATGTGATATTTCATGTGGATGAGCAACTTCTCGTGCTGAAGAAGCCAATGCACTTGATGAAGTTGACATTGAGACATCAAATAGCACACACGTTCTGCTTACAAATAACTCATATTCTATTAAAGAGCACAGCAACTGGATGTAGCGCTTTAGCAGTTAACTTTAATTTTAATTGTGAATTATTGATAAACTAAATTAGACTTTCATTTCTTATTAAGCATCCCACATCTCATTATTTTTAGCATTCCTTCAATCTGTTTGTTTTTATGTCACTCAGTATTTTATATTGAAAATTGCTATCCTCTTTTCTTTTTCCCTTTTTCTTTTTTCATTAAATTTCATCAACAAACACAATTGCAATATTATATTAAGGGGAAAGAGTTCTATAGATTATTTCGTAGATGCAAGTAAATTATAATTGATATCGCAAACTTCACATCAATAATTAATATTTTTCATCATTTAACATTCCTATGCAATAATAATGATAGTAATAGTAATGATAATAATATTTGCAAAATAACTATCAATTAGCAATTTTCTTTTTCTGAGTAATATTACATCAATAGCTTATTCATGTCAAAAATCATGCTGTTTTGTCTCTAGCACAAATTATAGACATCAGAAATGAATATTATCACAGTAAATAATGAAGGCAAAAAGACAAAAAAAAAAAAAAAAAAAAAAAATTGACTGTGAAGATAATTAATAAAAAACCATAAAATGTTGGAAATCTTGTAATATTTTAAATTTTGATACTTCTCAACGCTGTAAAAAGAAAAAATGAGGTGGAGTTTCATGGATTTCAAAAATAAGATTTGCTGCAACCTTTGACACTACGAAGTTTTTCTTAGTATATTTTGGTTATTCACATGATAACAAGCGCAATTTAACGATACATTTAATTAGAAGTTATAAACGATTGTTTCTAATTTGCTTTGCAAACATAATTAAACAAGCTGAAACTAAACAGACTGCTAGTTTTTTTCTTTTTTAAATGAGAATATTCAATAATACATGAAAAATTAACTTATTTTAAAACAAATTATATTAACAGTATAAAAAATAAGTTATTTTATTATTTAAAATAAATAAAAAAGTGAGCTATTTTTTTAACTTCTATTTGAAGTAAGTTAAAATAAGTTGTCAATTTTAAGAGACAAAAGATGAAAATGAATAATCTGTAAAGGGTTGAAAAGTGAGAGAGAGAGGAAAAGGAAAGTAAGGAAGACGAGATAGTGTAGAATTGCATTTTACTTAATATATATGTTTCATGCAGATTGTTCAAATAATTGGGTAATAAACATAACGCCAAAAAATTTTAGAAAGATCAATGTTAATAATAGAAAATGTCTGATAATGCCATGTAGTATGGGGGTCATTTCGTAGAGATAACATTTAGGAATTAGTTAATTATCGATAATCATTTAACTACATTAATACCCAAACCTTTCGACCCTTCCTTGCATTTCCATCCTCATTACTACCCGTAAGGGTAATATTTTTTCTCATAAGGTAATGATGCCGACAAAAATGTGCGTAAAAACTGATGCAAAATGTATTTGATTTATATCAAACTCTAATTTTTCTCGTCATTTGACTGAATAGCCGTGAACATTATTTGTTTGTTTTTTTTTTCTCTCTCTCTCTCTCTCTCTCTCTTCCGCTTTTTTTTTTCTAATGACACTAAAAAATGAGTTAATTAGTTTAATGGAAAAATCCGTCAGCCCCTTTACATTACGATGATAATAACGAAATTCATTTAAAAAAAGAAATTTTCATTAAAATTTGTAATATTATTTATTACCTGTATCATTCTTTAACCTCTTCCCCTTTTCCTTTTTTCTTTTTTCTATCCTCTCTCTCTCTCTCTCTCTCCATTCACCATCTCTTCTTATTGTCTTCCTGCTTCGTTTTATTTTCCCGCCAGCACATCCGCCGGTAGTTTTGCTTGTCCATATGAAAAATTTTCATTCTACTATTTTATGTTTCTATTTTGTGCTAATAAAGTAGAAAAATGGAAAAGATGTGTGGTAGATTTGTATAGTAATTACTTTCCTTCTTTTTCACGTAATTTCTGTAATATCTTAAATTTGCTCAAAATTATACATTGAATTCACTTCACATACGTGAAAAGATGTGTTAATATTTTATCGGAATTCTATTTGTCAGAGCTAATTTATCTATCATTGCTCCAAAGGGAGTATTGAAAGCTATCGCCTGATAAACTTTCCGGAGGAAAGCAACCGCAAACATTTCATCGGTCAATTACAAACAGTTCCTTCATTTCCTTCTTTTCGCCATTCTCTAAGCCTACCGGAAGAATGTTGTCGTAATTAATGATTTCATTTAAACAATTACAACATGATGCTGTCTTTCCCAACAGTTAATACTCACGTGAGCTGTGAGCAAGAAAGAAGAGAAAGGTTGAAGGCGCCGAATTGTCGCCATCTCAGTGGACAGCTGTGACCAATTATGTTTCACACTTTTCTCTCTATTAAAGTACTTGAAAATTAACCGCTTACTCTTACTTAATTCCAAAAATCAAAGTTATTCCCAAATTGAATCTTCTCACACTTGAAGGTCCCGTGAGAATATGGTTGGAGGATCAGGATTTGCCGCATTTTTGCTTTGGTTTTGTTAATATAATAATAATAATAATACTAACAATTATGAACATTTTGTATTTCCAGTAGGGAAAAATGCGAGAGAAAAGTTTTGCTAGTTTTTAAAAATCAAAAAATCCGTCTTTAATTTTGCATAGACAATTTCTTTTTTTTCCATGAAAAACCAATCGATATGATTTCAATCAAAATTTGCTAATGTTTTAAAGTAAAGCATTACTATCCATCAATCATTATTTGAAATCCGTGGAAAGCGAAGTTCAATAATCATAGATATAATCAATAGATAGATTAAAGTAAGTGGTTAAACGGTCAGCTAACATTACGACCATTCTTCGAAAGCTAATAATACTTGCCTATCTATAATCATAATGCAGCAATGTTACTTTTAAGAGACATCATTCATTTTATACGTTTCCATTGTCATATAAGTTGTAATAAAATGATAAATAATTAAGATATGAATTGCTGAAAAAAAATGATGATAATATTTGATTTGTTTCACTGAACAAAAAGATACTTTTCACATTTTAACAAATTTGCTACTTTTCTATATCACATATCTAATTATGGAATCAACAAAATAAACTGATTCAAAAAAATGAGATATCATTCAGGAATTTACCGTGTTTACAATATAAACAATTTTTACATATATATGCAAACTTTTAGAACGAAAATAAGTAATGAAGTGTCACAGTCACAATATATGAAAGGTGTAGAAAGGATGTTTGAAAAGCTTTTAACTTGGCTAATTTCTTCTGGATAAAAATTTTCTGCTATAAAATCAATATATGTTAATAACTTATTTGCCGTATTCCTTTTCTCATCCATCTAAACATGGCACAAATGATTTCAAATGATTGAATATTTGTATCAGACTGTTAAACTTCATCGTACTACTTTCATAGAAACAATCGATTTGTAACAATAAACCTAAAGTGTTCTCACTTATCATTAAACACATATTATTATTCATCGAAATGTTAGATAAAACTTTGTAACTTAATTTTTATCATCTATCATCAAATAGTAATATATAATTCATAAGAATTAATATATAATTAACATTTTCAAATTTTGTCAACTATGTACTTTTTCGTTCCAAAAAAATCAAATTACATTACTTTGAAATTTGTAATACACAGTGGGGAAAAAGTATAGAAAAGGAAGTAATGATGATTGTTTATCAAGAAATAACAAAATCTTAAATCTGCAAAAGATTTCGTGAAAATAGTACAGGATGATTGAAATGGGAACTCCCTGATCCTAAAAAAATATCCCGATGTTGTATTGCAGTTCCATTTTCTGCTTCTACAACAGCTATTGCATACCAGTAACCAATAAGAGATCAATTATACAACGTTACTCGATATTATACAAAAATACGATGCTTTAGAGTAGGATAATAGAAAAAGATAAGCAATAATAATGAATTAGCAAGGAGCGTTATGATTTCAAAGTTGTTGAAAATTTGTAATTAGTGCAATAGAAAGGTCATTGTCATCATATTTAACCATTTTCAGCACTTCCATACTTTTCTTTCATCCTACTTCACTATCAGTCGTTATTATTCTTTTGCTTATATCAGTTTGATTCTTAAATATTTTCTTATTGGAACATTTCTTTTAGCTTTAAGACCTTTACAGTAACTATGTAACAAAAACCAACTGGTAATATAGAATAACAACTATAACAAATAAAAGATATGAATTCAATCATATTTCACCAGTGAGGATTGTAAGCGAACGGAATATAAGTTTTTGAAGTACCACTTACGGCTGCATTTGCAACAGCTGCAGCTGCAAATGCGCTTGCCTGAGCAAATTTTACTTTTTCAACTTCTGCTTCCTGAAGTCGCTTTGATTTCGCTCGGCGATTCTGAAGGAAATAAAATTTTGTAACATTTTCATACTGCTTCTAAGAAACAATCTCAAAATTTCAAAACATTTTTCGAAGTAAGAAATACTGCAAATTTATTTGTCTACATTCATTTAACTTTAAATGATCAAGAAACATCATTTAATTATTTAAACAAAAGTTGCAGTGAAATATCAAAATTTAATATTTTAAATTATTTAAATCTTAAGTTAATTTATTAGCAGGTGTCACACAGTAATTTATTCTTAGCAAATATGAAAAATTTGAAAATATCATGATAATGATCAATTCAGTTTTTTCACTCATTTTCTTTCTTCCATTAAATTATATTTGAAACTTTTTCGCTGTTAACCAGATAATGTTAAAAATGATGTTAGTGATACACGATTTGTTAAAAATGTGAAATCATCAATAGCTAGCACAGTTAAGCATTTCTTGATACTTTTAATATTTTCAATGAATTTCAATAATTAATTTCAGTTTGGATTTTGATAATTTTGGGAAAATATCGCTATGTTAAAATTTCGCTTTGTTTCATGCGCATTTCTTAATGGAAATTTGATAAATTAAAATGTATGTTTCTAATTTGCCAAAAAGTATCGGCAATGCAAATATGTGCGTTTGTGATTTAGCAGCTGTGGAAAGTATGGGTGGTATATGGGGGCCAATTCTTCTGCGTGTCACCCAGCGGGATGTCTCACACGATTTGCGGGCAAAGGTCGTCCTCGCACGATAGAACTTTCAAAGAAAGGGCAAACAATTAGAAGTTTATATGCAAAATGCATATTTTCTACTTCGGTTCTTTTTTGATTGTTTTAAAATTCCTAATAACTTTCAAACTCATTAAATTTCATACAAAATTTCATATCTACAAAAATTTAGCCCAAAATGGTACTGCACTTCTTTTTTACAATTTAATATAATTACGATACACACAACAAATACACTGTTAGGTAAATGGTCTTAGAAATCTAACAATTAGCATAAAGGATTAATTTCAAATAACAGTGGAAAAGAATGAATGAGTGTTTACGTGAAAAGACAAATGTACTATTTGCATAAGTTAATTGATAAGAGCAGGACAGGTGTCACTTGTCGAATTTGTTAATACAATTACATAATCATATTGTCTCTATTTATTGGATATTTGAAAATTTGGATCTGAAATATGTTTTGTTATAGAAATTATAAAAAGAAATTCTGTCATAGAAATGAGTAAAATTAGAGGAATGATATGAATAAACAGAAGTGATGAAACATGTGAGCATAATAAAAAAGCATTAATTGAGAAAGCCATCCATCATAAATCAGTGCCACCATTGGATTACTTTCAATAAACGGTTCTTCCATCAACTATCATTTGTTTTCATTTTTTCCGTTTTCCCGAATCACATACACACATACATATTTACATGTACATCTATATATATATATATATATATATAAACATTTGTTTCCGCAATACATACAAGAACACTTCTTTACCGAAATTCTTCAACTATTAACCTCCAACATTTTTTCTGCTAACCTTTAACCTTTACTTCTACACAAATAAACTTCATTCATCACTCACTGTTTTCAGGAAGAAGCAGAAAGAGAAAAGATAAAAATCTTTAATTATAAAAGTTGGAAGCAAATTAGAAATAAATGTTTCATTGTATTAACTGAAGTTATTGCTGTTTAGCATTTCAAAAATGAAAAGTCTCCTATAAAATTAGACTAAAATATTTCATCTGAATATTGAATGGCCATGATCAAGAAATATCATAGTTGGCTATAAGCAAGGAATATTATAGATGGCCAAGCGAAACAATTCGCATTTTATCCAATCGTTTGCTATGGAAGCAACATGCCCAACAATCTAGGTAACAAGATCTATCTAAGCTGTAATAATACAACAGGTTCTTTTCAGATATACAATTGCAATGAGTAATGGTCATTTACTTGATTCTAGCAGAATGTTCCTACATTAACAAGACAGAAAAAATCATTCAGATAAATTCCTTATTACACATAATTACGTAATGCTTTTCTTTTTATTAAGTCACAGTATTGCTTATACTTCTTAGCTTGCTACTTGCTTTTTGTTTTATTGTCCATAAAATTTTACATATATTTCTTGCTCATTTTAGAAATAGCAAAGTACCGTATCATCAAAACATGGTGAATTTGTATGTCTGCGCATGTGTTCATGTTTCTGCGCCTGTGTCAGCAGTACCTACTCACCGACGTCTGCTGATCTTTGTTTATGCGCATTTCGTCTGTCATTGTCTGCGTACAGACGTATATCTTTGGACAACGAACTCTGCTCTTGTCTATGCTATTTAGTTAGCGTCATATATACGTGTATGTGTATGTATGTATGTGTGTACGTATGTATATGTGTGTATGTGCACATGTGGGTCTATGAAGTATTCGTCACAAGTGTCATACTGTACTTATTTCCATAGTGAAAAGCATGGATTAATTATGATTTTCTTAATAAAATGCATATTTCATAAATTTCTAAGCTAAAATTTACAGAATATTGGAAAATAGCGTTGAAGTTAAAGGGAAATAAAGAATCGCAAATGAGGAAATAATATGAATTTTTCTTCACATTTCTTTTCCTTTCTCTTCTCAACATTTGAAGAGGATGGGAATGAAGATGAAATGCTAAAACTATCGTTAACTTCAACATCATCTGAATACTATTGAGAAAGAATGATTTATTATTTTTATCATCCAAGATTTTGCTGCTAGCTGTAACGAATAACAATAAGTTTAATCATGAAGAAACCAATTAGCAATCATTCTAATCATAAATGATATACTTGCTAGTATTGAAGTAACTAAAGTAAATCTTGAAAAATGGAAATGAAATGACTTTACAGTGCTTCTTCTTTTCTTTTGAAAATACCAGCGTTTTTCAAGAGGATAGTGCTAATCAAATACAAAATGCTAATGTGAGATATGTGGTGGAGCACCGCCCATTAAAATGTTTGCTCATATCAGTTTCAGTTGAATCAATTATTGTAAGCATTTTCATAATGAAGCTAGAATGGTTGGGAAGCATAGGATAGATATCACTTGTTTTTATGGCTCGGAATTGTTTATTCCGTTGCAGAAACAGTTTATAATGAGCTACGATTTAGGTAGAATTAATATTTAATGAAGAATTAACATAATGAGATGTATTACCTCGTCTTGTTTCTCGAATCCTCCCGAAATCACCCGACAAAAGATCAAAAATACCGCAACTGATTGCTTAATAGCGGATAATAGCCATTTACTCAAAAAATTTGTTTCTTTTCTCATCACCATTTAATGGATGCAAAACACCATATATTCAAACTCCTTCCTTCCTGACCTCCTAATCCTTCTATCTTCCGGTTGCTTTCTTGTCCTCTTATCTCAATCTCCACAGCCCCAACCCCCTAGGGGTACTATCTTCAGCTAACGACCACTACCCATTCATCATTATTTAAACATACTTTTCAGCAAATAATTTAGGATGATTCATCATCATCCATAATTATTAACGAATTATCATCAGTTCAAGTTTCTAGAAATTCCTTTTATCAGCTATCTACTCTCAATTTCAATTTCACAAGTTGAAGTAATTATTATCTAGGAGAATTGGTGCGAAGTGAGTATTGATATCTTGACAAAGTGTTTTTGACTATACATTATTAAATATTCACTAGCCGACACCATCACTGATATAATCAGTGAATTGATTGATATCTAAGAGAAAATACATAGAGTGAGATGCATAACGTGTCATGATTTATTATTGCTGATAACGAAATTATGGGTTACTTAGGGTAAATTGAATGATCTTGCAAAAATGAAGAGATATAGATCGTTTTTGTTGATGGATATTTTGAATGCATATTATCTGTCGTGAAAAAAAGACGGAATTTTACGAGTCTATTACTATATGGCAAGGTGTTAAAGGTCAGTAAACATTCAGATCAATAGGTTAGCAATAACTTCATACAGTAGTAAACCTTTCTATGACAAAGAAATGTTACTAAATTTAAGTTTTAAAATAACAATAACGTTTTTACTGATGTGATAGAATAGTATATTGTGTTTTATACAGATATAGCAACATATCGAGTTGCAATAGATAATCACTTAGTTATCATTTTATAAATCTTCATTTCAAATAAAATTTCAAAACAACTAATTTACTTCATTTTTTAACGATATTTTTTTTCCTCATTTCTATAAACTTCCCTTCCTGTGAACAAATCACTAAATTCAAATCTACGAATATTCTTCTACAAATACTTCTTGCAATTGTAGTATAATTATGAAGCTCCGAACTTTAAAAATAACTACGAGTTAGGAATAATATTATCACTATACGAGCAAAAATGATAGCATTAAAATATCAACGAAATAGTACTAGAATTAGTAAACAGATGATAATAACAAATGATAAAAAATCGAGTACCACTGCAAAAATGTTTATATTGGATGAATGTATCAAATGAGAATATGAAATGATGGTTGGAAATGTTTACCTGAAACCATATTTTGACTTGTGTTTCGGTAAGTTGTAAGGATGCGCTGAATTCCGCACGTTCAGCGATCGACAGGTATTGCTTTTGTTGAAATTTTCGTTCCAGTGACAGCAGCTGTTGAGTACTGAATGGTGTCCTCGGTTTACGGTTATTCTTATGCTTCCGCAATAAGCATTTCGTTATGCCCATAGCTGCTAAACTTTTATGTTCAGCTGAAACAATGACCAAATAAATTAATAAATAAATAAATAAACCTTATTTTCATTTAGTTATAATTTTCATGACATTTAATTTTAAAAATTTACATTTAATTTAAAAAGAATCAAAAAATGATAACAATTAAAACTTTTTACTTACGAGGAGAGGAGGATTGTTCCGATGAAGTTGCTTGCCAAGGGTAGTGTGCAAGAAACGAATCATTTGTTGATCCGGGACAACTATCTGCGGAAGTACCACTAGGTATAGAATGAATATAACTAGGTAGCAAAAACATTCCAGCTGGGTCGGTTGTTAATGAATACCCGGAATTTGATGTCTCAGACTGTGAAACTCGTGAAATAGATGGAATCGTGACCACAGAAGTTGTGACAAGCGGATTCACCGGCGATGGTTTAGGAATTTTTGCGGAAGAATCACTAAATTTAGCTATTTCATTATAGGTAATTAATAATAATTGTTAATTAGCAGTTAAGAACAGTTAATGTGCAATTAAATGCATAAACAAAAGCTGTATAACACGAAAATTTACTAATTTTGAAAAAAAGAAAAATACACCTGTGAGAAAATGAACTACACGATAATATATTTTCAACACTGAAGGACGCTTTTTTGGATGTTTTAGTGTTTGATTTCGACAGTCCAATGGTACACATTGGCTACTGGTGTTAAGTTCCTGAAAAGGAATAAAGGTAACAAAATTATAAGTGAACTGTTAGTGATGAATATAATACATATGAATATAATTTGAAAAGTTGACGATCAATGTTGTGTACTGCTAAAAATACATGTATGATGATATTTTGCAACTTTATAACTGTAGATCATATTATTTATACATACTATTATGAGTATGCATAAATAAAACAAGTGCATAATAAATTAATTTAGATTCAAAAAAAAAAAAGACCAATTACTTGTGTGTCAAAAGTTACGCTATTGAATGGAATGCATGGAAAACAATAACATAAAGGCGGTCGCAATTTTCGGTTACAAATGGTACCATTTTTGAATTTACACAAAATTTCAGAGCAGCAAATGATCAAAACCGGTAAGAGACAATAAAAAAAAATTGCATCGAGGCCCATCCTATCCGAATAAATCCAAATATAGAAATACCATCGGATTCATGCCAACCGCAGTTACTTGCAGTGAAATGGTAAACGAACTGCAGTAGCAATAGCAAACTTGTTCCTCCCTCTACCGTTTACTTATCGGGCATCAAAAACGGTGAGTGGTACCTCCCACACCCGATTAATTTGCTTTACTTTCAGCAATTTTGCAATATTGCTTCCGCTGTTAACGGCACCATCATCCAATGCAACAGGGTAGGAATGATGATGGTGATGATGATAATGATAATGTTGTGGATTGGTAATGACTACAATTATAATCATGTTACTTTATGGAAGTGTTTATGATGAATGTGGTAATGTTTTACAAATGTTAATTGCAACAATGATTATGAAAATATTAGTAGTAAATTATTAGGAGTTACAATAGTGATGTTAGTTTAATATTACTGATAACTGACCAATACTGATTACAATTGATAATTGTGATGATTCTTAAAAATGTAACAAAATTTCATATGCCAATAAAAAGCGTCAATGCATGAGATGAAGTATCATGAAACTAGGGAGTTGATTGAGAAATGAATGAAGACGAGTACCGCTGTCTATACAACACCAACCCATCCATCCTCCAACTATTATCATCCAATGAGATTCTGCTCCTCCTCTGGGAAACAGATCTAATAAGTGAAATTGATGGGTCATTATAATTGCCACTTGCTCCTAAATGCTTTCTTCTTCATTTTTAACAACTTTCAAATAGCTCACTGAAATGCTTAATTACTTCTTTCTAATGCTCACTCCATACACGGATCTCAGTTATGAATATATATATATATATAGCACAGTTAGAATTCCATCATTATTTTCTCATTTCTCATCCTTTTATAAATATTTCAGTTTAGTCTTCTTAAATTATCACAACATTTTTAGCTATATAATGGCAATACGAATTAAAGCAATACTAGAAAACAATTTTATCAAAATTTTTATCATTACCATCCAAGCTACTCTATAGAAACCTACTTTTGCATTCACTGACAAGTTAACATCAGTTATGATTAGTATTAATTTTCCAAGATAGCATCATTATATTGCTATCTTTTTTTTTGGATGGGGGGAAGGGGGGAAAAGATAAATTTAACAGTGATAAAACAATAGATAATTTATTCATTATTTCCGGTCATAAACTATTACATTAAATTCTTCCTCTCGTTCATATCATTATTGTCTATATTCTTCCATAAATTTTCATCTTTATCTGAGCTATTTAAATTTTTTTTTTTGTTTCAATCTTCCTATTATCTTAAAAAATATACAAAAATATTGAAAGGATAAACAAAAATGGAAAAAAAACATCGATAAAATTGAAGCATGTTATACTTTGCATAATGCTACCGTATCCAACTATTGCCAGTAGCTATGAAAAGTGAAAAGCTTAGAATGGTTGCGCATGTTGTTTTAACATGTTGGCACCAACAAGCAAAGATGCAGACAATTGCATTATGTGCTTTTATTACAAGAAATGAATTAATTAAGCAGCTGGTGTCCTCACCAAATTGTCATTAACCTTTCCTTATTGCAATTTAATCGCCTTCAAATTTTCGTAATTACCTAATTTAGCAATGACACCTCAAAAGCTTATGTTGTTAACTCATTTCCTTTGCTGAATCCATTCTGGGTAAACAAGCTTCTCCGTAGCATAATTTTACCCACCGCTCATTTATTTGTTTTTTGTTTTGTTTTTTAAGCATATATCAGAATAAAAAATGAGAGAAAAGTTCATGAAGAAACTTTGTAGCTGAAAAAGAAAATAAGAAGTGGACAAGAAGAAATTTTACCATAAAACAGCAAACACATAATTTTCCTTTAAAAGCATGCACGCAATTGCGGGAATTTTTGTTAGCTTTATGAATTTTATAGAATAAATTATAATTCTGTTTCCTGTAGGTTTGTATTCATCAAAATTTGAAACAAAAATGCTATATTTCACATTATGTAGACATTTTATTCTATCATTTAAGCACATGAATCAACGTGATTTTTTGTTTATTAACTTCAGCATGACATTAAAATAGCATTTTATTTATGATAACGACAGATTAGCATGGACTTCAAAATAAAGATAATGTTATTGAGTGATTGCTAAAATTTTGCTGATGTAAATAATCTATTTATTTGTATAACTAAAGCTTTTTCAAGATTTATTACTTCTACACCATCATTATGACGTGAAAAATTAACAGGTGTTGTGTTGTAAGCTGACAAATTGGTAGGAAACTGTTAGCTGTTTAGTTTGTTTTCATTAAGAAAACTAATTCACTAAAGATTTATTAATAAATTGCTGTTGCAGCAAAAAAGAAAAGAAAGAAAAAAAAGGCAATTGATATTAATTGCAATATAAACACTGCAGAATAAATTTAATTTGCAATTTACTACATCTGCTTTTTAATGAAAAATGTTGGACAAACTTTTTACTACATTATAAATAAGCGATATGATCCAATATGAAATGATACGGTATAAAAAATATTGGACAAAGATTTAACATCTTTCGAGATGAATACACTTATAAGATTATATCGTCACCACAGATAAATCATTAGTAATTTTGGCATTCCATAGAATTTCTAACAGAAGAATTAGTGCGGTAAAGATTAACACTGTTAAAGTTGAATTGAAATTTTAATCAAAATTTTGTCAAAAATTTTGATTAATTTGAACTAGCTATGTAATAAGTGTGAATTAGAAGGTTTTTTAATAAAAAATTTACCACATATTAAGTTTTTATAAGATATATCCTTATTATTAAAAAAGAAAGATAGAATATTTGGTATCCATATTTGATATTTACAGATGTGTCGCAAGGAAACGGTGATTCGATAAGTCATTAGCTTCTCTTATACTATATATAATTCATTGCCACTACTTTTTTGCTTTATTTTCCAAAAACTACTGAATTTATTATCTAAATTTCAGTATTTTAAGAAAATTAAAACATCAATATAAACTATCTCACTAATTTCGTTTGCATTCATTCTAATTAGTTCGTGTTAATTGATAAAAGATTTAGAAGGAAATGCAACAACATACTTTGTGTTTTGAATCTAGAACTGGTAAGATATTTGTTCAATTTAATTTGTTGCAAATTTCCGTATTGTAAGAATATTGTTTTAATTACTGTACTTATAACTTGGTGATGTTTTGTGTAGCCCTCAGATTGCATACAGAATAAAATGTAAAAAATAAATAACTGTAGCTATGCCAATTATCTAAAATTATAAGAAATAAAAATGAAGAATGGATAAGTTAATGGAAAGGAAAATAATGAAAAAATGGAACAAAATAAATTAGAGATGGAAGATATGTTGATTAAGTAATTATCATAATGAATGGATAGAGCTAAAAGTGGATTCATTATTTAATAGTTAATTTCCAGCTTTCTCTATTGCCGCAATCTTCATCAATTTGCATATTTTTTTTTTCTTTTTTTGGAAAGAACGGTGGTTTTCATCGTCAGGAAAGAAAATTGGCCCCATGAGGAAGTGAAATGAGCAGTAGCATGATGCAATATGGGCTCGAATAAGCAATAATACTATGCCCCTTTCGATTAGATTATTGGCCAATCGGTGTGAAGGATGCTGATAGATAGATTTGGTCTTCCTTTTCCCTTCTTCCGTCCGGAAATTGATGTCGATCTCGATGATCCGGCACACACTTCTTCACGTCTTTCATCCTCCTTCTTCCTTTTCCCTTCACTTTTCATTTCTTTCTTTTTCTCAAAATCTACAGAATTTCCCAGTTTTTAATTGATTTTTAATGTAGCGAGTCAAAAATTCTTTATGACTATTCTTCCGAGATAATCACCTACGACGGGGCATATTCAAATATGTATAGATATGCTATATCAAATATCCTGATTCATTCACTCTACAAGTCATCAGTACCTTCCGTATATTATTTAGAATTCTGGTTAAAATGATTAATTTGAAGCTAACACTTTTTTCAATTAAAATATATTAAATTGAAATACATATTAAATTGAAAAAATATTTTGCACAGAAATTTGTCAAGCTTAACCTTAACTGATGTCATTAAGAATACTTTAATCACAGCTTATGATTTGAACGATAATGCGCACGAAGAAGGAAAAAGTAGTTTAAGCATAATCTGGGAATTGAAAAAGGAAAATAGTGGGATTTAAAAAGCTGACAAGTACAAAAAGATGAAAACAAAAGGTGGAGAAAAGAGGGAGAGGAGAGTAAATGAAGAAGGTGAAAGAAAAAAGTTTTTGGAGCGGGAAGATATTAAATGGTAATGTCCAGTAATAAATTGATTTCATTGAAACAGCTGCATCGAGAATGTCCACGAAATAGAACCTGTTTGCTTGCATTATTCGACATTCGAAAACTCACAATAAACATTTATGATTGCACTTCCTTCGATTAGGGTTCTTTGACTGAGCAATAGCAATTAACAGTCTATAAAATTTTTGGTACGGCTGTTCAAGCTCCTTTCTAGCTAATCTTTTTATTATTCATCATTTTGGTTTGAACTTATAATATGTTCCTGACTTACAAGCT